TGTAAGTCAGGTCGAGTTCCGTTTCGTCAAGGTCGAAACTCATGCCCGGCTTTTTACACATCAGCTTCGTGTAGACGGCTTCATTCGGCTGCACCCTGATCACTAGCTCGTTGCGCTTGATCTGACCGGTCGGGAAGATGTCGCGCAGCAGGTCTTTGTACTGCACCCGTACCTCGGCTTTGGGTTCGTTCAGCGCCTTGCCGCAGCGCAGAAAGAACGGCACACCTTCCCAGCGCTCGTTGTGAATCATGCAGATGGCCAGGGCGTAGGTAGGCGTTCTCGAGTCTTTCCGCACCGACGGGTCATCGCGGTAGCCCAGCCTTGCCTCTTTGTCCTGCGCATTAGGGTCACCAACATACTGGCCAAGAACCACGTTCTGCAGCTCGATCGGTTTCATGAACCTCAACACCTTCACCTTCTCGTCGCGGATGTCGTCCGATTGCAACGACGCTGGCTTCTCCATGGCAAAAAGGCATAATATTTGCAGCAGATGGTTTTGCATAACATCCCTAGAAAAAACTGAAGAAAACTGCGTAAAGCGGGAAGCGTCACAACCAGTTCACAATGTTACAAAAAAAATTGTTTACGCTGTAAATACACTGGTCGTAAATCTAAATCGCATCTAAAACATCGACAATATACATTAATTAAAGTACCGTAAGTAATTATAAACTATGGCGAACAACGTTCCACACCGCTGTATGCATTCATATACCACTGTAACACACTATACAGTTGTAAATATATCTCATCGCAGTAGCATACCTAATGTATTAACATATACTGTGACATTTATTAGTAATACATTGAAGTATGCACTCCAGACACGGCAACATACATGTATCACATCAAAACAAATGCACAGATAAACTTTACATATACGTCTGTGAGATGCACAAACTGTTGTGCTGCTGATCGGTTTGTCGATACTGTAGAAATACAGTATATCCATAGCATGCATGGGCAAGTATGCTGTCATACTAACAACAAATGTATTCGCGCGTATCTGGCAGTCATTCGACCTGTACTGCTGTGTGCTGCAGCTGTCCCTTTATAAGAAAAAACTAATGCACCAAATATGACTGAACCCTCTTGTTGGCAAAGAATACTCGGATACCGACAAGTTCATATACAAACGCGAACACTCAATTGGTTGACGACTGAAGAACAAGCACAGATGGAGAAATACAAAGGAAAGGAAAGTTGTTACCGTTAGAACGTCGGTCGTCTTACACTTTCACGATTGGGCCATTTTATTGCATTTCTTTTCATGAAGGTTGATGGTGCCATGCTGACCTCCGTTTCTAGGTCATCATTCATGACTGCTTTATTTTTCAAGGCAGAACCTACAGCCATGTAGTAAGTGTAATGTGTTTCCCTCACACAGAGAGGTACTCATTTATCAACTGAATAAGAAGTGAGTGAATCAGAGAGAGGCTTGAAGTCAGAACCTCTCGGTTCTGAGTTCGACGCTCTACCGGCTGAAAAACCCTGGTCTGAAGCAATGTGTGTTAACTTTCTTGCTCAAGGAAATTCGTGAATAACAGGGATTAGTATCAATTTTTCCTCTGATGAACTTAAAAAATAAAAGTCTCGCTTCTCGGCCGTGTCTTACGACTTGCTGACTGATCAACGTCACGATTCGCAGTGTGCCGAAGACATGCCGGATGCAGGACGTAGGTCGAAAACTTCATGGTCAGACAGAACACCAAAGTTGAACTGACTACGACAGAGGCTGGTAGCATTTATCGACAAACTGCATGCCAGGGATTGGTTTGAAATTTTATCGCACATTATATAAGAGAAAACAAAATGTCAAATGGTGACAAGAAACGTGGGAATGTCGTAACAGTCTGCGACATTAAATAAGTCAAGTCAAATACATAAATTAATTTGTCGATAACATGCCAATGCCGTATACCCTCTATACATAAGGACCTCAGCGTAGAGCCAAACCGCTGGTAGTCAACCATGAAAATAATACTAAACAGCTTTATGCAGTAATCATTCTACTCTTCCCTTTATTAGCCGTAGTTAATGAAAATGATGCCGTCATCCGATGAAAAACTTGTCACCAACAACTGATATCTTTTTCTCAGCACCCTTACAATAATCTTTGAAAGATGCACAGGTCTGATCGGTGTAAAGAAACGTCACCAAATATCAAACTTGTAGACAAGGATTTATCGCAACTTCGAATGCAGACAAGAATCACTGACCTTTGACATCTGCAAGACAAAACAATAAATGCCATATATACAAAGAAACGAAACAAACTACATGTTGTACCTAAGAACGGATATGTCAGACACGTCGTTCTGCAGGCAAAATACACCGAAATATAAACTTCAAGAAAAAGGGCATGAGAAATGAAATGTGCCAGGGAGACTTACCCAGTAAAGGCTACAAATGTTTCAGAGGTCAGACACCTCGGGCACTCTCAGCCGAGTGATCTGCTGATTTAACGTATTAATAACGTTCAGTTTAACACAACACCTACCTGATGATGCCGTAGTCATCGAAATAGCCGCCACGACCCATAGTGCCGATCGTCTCCTTGAACGAAATGGTGACGGAGTCGATGTGCTCGCGGTTCCAGCTGGGACTGAATATGCGGTTTCCGAATCGCAACACCATCAGGTTCTGCACCATTTCTTTTCCGAGGTAATGGTCGATGCGATAAATCTGGTCCTCGCGTAGCAAACTGCTAAGATGCCGTGACAGTTCCCTCGAACTCTCCAGATCCTTGCCGAACGGCTTTTCGATGATCACTCGCGACCAGCCTTTGTCACTATAAAACACAGCTTATTAAACCGTAATGGCGTTTGGACGTGCATTAACGCGGTAAATACACTTACTACTTGCACATGCAGTACTGATGCAGGTTGCGAGTGGCAGGCTGAAAAACGGTCGGGGGCACGGCCAAGTAAAAAACTCGATTCGGACAAGCACGATGACTATTGCCGAAATCAGCTATGGTACTTTTCAACTTCAAATATCCATCGGGAGCCTCATAGCTGCCAGAAATGTACCGGTTGTGACTTAGAAAAGTTTCGAACAACTTCTCATCAGCTTCCGAAACCTGCAAATATTAAATATTTAAACGTTGTAGAAAACTAGAAAATAAAAAAGTCTAATTTATTACTGAAATTATGCATTAAAAAAATTCTGATGCGAAAAAACTAGGTACAATGGAACTTATTACATGCAACACTGAGGCAGCAAATCATGATAGGTAACAAATATGATACCCCATAACCCATATTTGCACCAATCAACCTTCTTAACACAAAGTTCAGATAGATTCCAAGCCGGTGAAATATATAACGATAAGAAGACTAGAAGGGCCTCGGGCTGACCCAGAAAACACGGCTCTTACTCCAATAAGATCAAAGCTGTCAAACTTGATCCGTAATGCTGCGAGTATGTTTATAGTATCCTGACATAATCTCAGATGTCCTCGATGATGTCGACGACAAATCAGGACCACAGTGACAAACTTTCACACGCACCACGTGAGATCAATTGTAGTA